TGACAAAACTTAGCCAGGACGGGCAAAGTAGAATCTTTCAACTGTAAAGCAAAAATCTTTCGCTTGGCATTTGAGTCTAAATCTTCAATAGAATATTTGATTTTGAAAGTTGGATTGAGTTCCACATAATCCTATATTTTGGGACTTGTTTTCTTCGCTCTCAAATTGGTAGAGAACATTTAAAAAAGCTCTTTCTTACCAGCGGCTTGTAATGTTTCTGGCAAAGTTTTGAAATTAAGTGGCAAACCGTAAGGCTGCGGAGGCAGAATCACAAAGTGCTGCAACCCTGAAAGATGAAGAAATAGTGAGGATGACAGAATATTTTAAAATGATATTTAAGGTGTTTCGATACAGTGTTTTGGAGACCATACTGTTTTTTTTTTTTCAATCGCCTTAATTAATTATTTTATACTTGTCCGCATCGCTATAAAACCAGTGTATTGTGGATTGTAGTTTGTCAAAACACAATTTTTAGTAAAATCGATATCACTATGATAACAATAAACAAAAAGCTTTGAAATCGATAAAAGCGGAATTTTGCGCGATCTAGAGCCCGGACCCGCGGATCTAGACCTGGTACTGAAAAGCCGACACTAGGAACTTAAGTGTGGCGTTTAGTAAATAACCTCCGTGAAAAAAAAAAAATATGTATGTTTCAAGTAAAACGTAAATAAATTTATAACCTTATATTTTCAATAGCCGCGATGAAATGTTAAATACAAAGGTCTAAAGAACTCAAATTACTCAAATTACTCTAGCATCAGAATGCAGCTTAATATTATATGTTAATGCTAGGAAATTTTGGCTCGGCTGTATATCGGCTCGACAGAAATTGTTTTAAACCGTCGTCACATAATCTTCACGATGTCTGAAAATTTCGCCATTAAGATTGATTCACTGCAACACCTTGAAATTTGTAAGAAGAACCTAGCCTGCGAACCGGCCAAAAATCCGCGTTACGACATTCACTGTTTTGACGTTATGCTAATTTTTCCATGCCGACTATTTTCGGGCATATGTATTGAGTGTGTGACGAAAGGACTTTCCACAGCACGTACGTTCTAGTAAAGTCGCAGCCTTTACGCGTTGTAATTCATTCCACTCACAAAACTTATTTCTAGACTTCCTACAATCAATATGAACAAGGCGAACCAAAGGGAAATGATGTAATCGAAGCGAAGTGAAATGAAGCGAAGCGTTAATGAAAAACAACCATTAAACAAATACGAAGTCAAGATAAAATAACTACAAAACTGAGCGAAAGCAATACGGCAAACTGAAAAAAGGCAAAATACAAGCAAGATACTTACAAGACGATAGCGAGATTAATTGGACGAAAGACTAGGACGAGCAAAACGACAAAAAAAAAGACCTAACAATGACGCGAACATTAGGGCCATTTATACGAGGAAAAATAAAACGCGTCTTACATAAGACGCGTCTTAAATAAGACGCGAACTTTCCGTATAAATGGCACATTTCGTCTAAAATAATACGCGGCTTAGCTAAGACGCGTCTTATTAGATAAGACATGCTCGTATAAATGGTACAGTTCGCGTCTTATTTAAGACGCGTCTTATTTTTCCTCGTATAAATGGCCCTATTGAACGACTAAGGCTGGTTTTCACTAGCAACGAAGTCGGAGTCGTAATCAGAGGAGTAAGACTTAACGATATAGTGAAAACAGCGTTCTGATTCAGCTTCCGACTCCATGGTTTATGTTCAAGTGAAAACTAGGTTGTCGAAGGGGTGTCAGTAAAACTTGGGGTTAGGGTTAGGGTTAGTGTCAACCATAACCTTTACCCTAACCTAACCCGAAAACAGCATTCTTAGGGGGAGATAGATCTCGACCACGGCTCCGGTCCCGACCCCCACCCCGACCCTTACCCCGCGTTTTACTGACACCATTGTCGAAGTCGAGCTAAACCAATCGCAAAGCATGGGAACGTGCATTGTGATTGGTTTATCCTTCCACTTCTGCCACCGATTCCGATTTGGTTTTCACCACTATATCGCAAACGACGGAGTCGTAAGAAAATGGAAACGTTCTGATTCTTCCCACTCCGCCTCTGTCGCGCCAATGACTTTGCTTACGAATCCAATTTTTGATTTCCACAAGGTCATAAGCGCTCTTACGACGAACTAAACAACACTAAAGGTGGGAACATGAAAAGAACTAAAAACGCTGCGTACACACGAAAGCTTAAAAAGAAACGCGTAACATTCCTGGCGCTAACAAGCAGATTGAACCGAACAATCACATGGAAATTCAGATTCATGAGACGCGCAAGGAAAAACCTAGTGGGAAGGAAACCCAAATCTTCAAATCACTGTGCGGACAACGCTTGTTAAACAATAAAAAAATGTTCGTGGTGCGCATGTTTTTGACGTAAAATTATTAAAGGAATTTTATTTGGTGTTTGGGATTTATTGCAAAATTCATTCGATTCGGGAAGTATCTATAGGTAAAGGGAAATATCATAAAAAACACTTTGACTTATTTTACTTGGTGTTCAACTCCGACGCATCAACACTGATCAAATGACATCCTCTCCCGAAATGAGAAAATGACTTCTGTTGGTTCATTCTCCTTGGTCTTGTTGAAGGAAAATGTTGATCGAAGAGTTACGTTAGCCACTTGTGGCATTTGCTACGATATACGTTTGTAGATGAGTCGTTGTAAGCGTTCTTGTTGATTGATTTGAGTAAGCTATTTCACTACTAACAGTATTGGTTTTTAAGCCAATTGATGATCGATAGAAAGTTTCTCCTGACATGAATTCGGTGCAAAGGAGATGTACCAATTTGGTGCATCTCCGCGGTAACACTTCTGTTCATGAAACATGTTCAATTGGAGCCTTTGACAGATGGCAAAGCCTTGTCTATATTAAGTATTTCGTTCAGTTTAACATTTTTGACCTTAATCTGGTCTTCCGTCGATATTTACCAGGAAATGACTACCTTACTTGTTTTTAAGAGTTTTAAGCGTGTTTCTTTGAGTTTTGACCGAATAACTTTAATTAGATTTAAGTGATTTTATAGGTGTTTGCGTAGATAAACAACTATTGTTCTAAATTCTGCCTTGTGCTTTGAACTGCATTTTTAATTTATCTTCTGAGTTTCTGATCA